AAAATAAAATCCGTTTGCTCGTTGTACACTCTGAAACTCGGCATATGGATAGAAAAATACTTAATTTATTTTTATTATATATTTTTATTATATATTTTTATTTGAAAACACATCGAAATTAAACGCATAAAACGATAGGCGAAGGTGGGGGAAATGGAGTTTTAATATTTCTTTACCTTGTATATGTCTAGGTAAACCCCGCGATGTTGATTAAATATTAATAATGTTCTACTCGCGGGACTTCATGTAATAAAATGTTCGAAACCCTGTAAATGTAAACGAGTTGTACAAAACCGAAATACACAAATTAGAGTCCGATCAACATGGACAAAAAAATATTCCCCCGCGTCTCATTATTACGGGTCGAATTGAGTAGGTGTATTACAATGTACTACTAACCGTGTATTGAGCGTGTAAAACACGTTTTTTTTTTTTCTCCGACGACGATTCGCGATAATTTGTCAACGACGATATTGTCGACATGGTTTCGAACGTTTGTAATACAAACGAAACAGTAATATACGAATTCCGTGTATTATTTTATCGGCTATACCAGATGATGTTAGGCGAACAGTATATAAACGAGCAAAGCTAGGTGGGAAAATTTTTCAAAATATCGAACGTCACGAATTTAAAAATGTAGACTGACGTTATTATGATGTGAAAATCTTAAAACAATAAAGTTAAAATGTACAGAATAAGGCTAAATTAAAAAAAAAAAAAAAAATCGAGTAAATAAATCCATATTAAACGACTCTTTGAAATATAATTGAAAAATAAAAAAAAATTTAAAAAAATCGAATTTAATCAAAATTTGTGCGCAAATAATCGCTGACTGGTGATAAAATTGTCACCCTGTGTATGGAGTCCATACAAAATATTCGTATGTTATATATTAACCAGAATTCGGGACTGTAGCACTTAATCAGATTATTTATGTACATTTAATTCAAACATGTTCGAGAATTCCAGATTTTGAATCATAATAATCAATAATATTAGTAAATGCGAAAATTCGATTGCCTTTAGATACACAGGTAAATAACGTTATTATAATCAATTATTGAGTTACAACAAAAACATTTTTAAGAAATCATACTGAAAACGCATAGAACCATTATAAAATATTATTTTAGAAAGAAATTAAAATTAAAAATCGTAAATCACGAATATTGTATTGTTATGAAACGCTAACAACAAAATTTGTTTAAATTCTGGAATAAAGATACGATTAAAAAATTATTTTTGAATTAAATTCAAAATAAACCACCAAAAATTATTTAATTACTAATGCTTTAGTACAAGAATTCGATTCATAGGCGTGACTACGCCACTACGGTGGCAACAGAGGCGACATAATAATATGCTGTCCCTGCGCTTTTCTAAGGCAGATGTTGTCTGTCACGAACATTATTATAATAAACACGGAAACACATATGTGCATTATAATGGGTTTTTATAAAAAATAGTTTATTAAACGAATAAATATGAAGATTTTTATTATCAATAGGTATGGTTGTTTATTATTCGCGGGCTTTGATAACTGATCTATTATCATTGATCTTTTTATACGTTTATAATTAAATATTAAATCGTCGATAGCCTGTACATATTAAATGGGTTTAATGGAGATATTTGATGATGCGGAATTCCGTTTATAGTAATGTTTGGTTAAAATTGTACCATTTCCCCTGGTTTTTCTACGTTTTTTCCCGGTTTTTCACATATGCTGGGAAAACTCTCGGGAAAATCGAAAACTGACCTCTTTAAAGTACCTTCCCAGTCGAATTTCTTTTTAGAAAAAGTGTTATCATTGTAAATCAGAAAAAAATTTCTGGTAGAAAAGTTGTCTATAAAAAAAAAAAAATAAATAAACATCATTGTTAAACTATAGGCATATTCGCTCCACTCAGAATCTTAAATATATAAAAATTATTTGAGTTGACGATAGAAAAAATAAATATTTATTGAAAATATCATTACTTACTCCCCGTCCCAGTAGAAATAATTAATAAAGGGACGCTAAAAACTAAAAACAAAAAAAAATAAAAATATTAGAGGCGCCCTCTTTAATTCAAGCACGGATATAAGTAACTCTACTAAGGATTTCTGGAGCCAGGAAAAAAAAAATTATACATCGTAGGTGTAATTTCAATTTCAGTAATTGGTATTATTATTTTGTTTTAAAGAAAAACGATGCACGCAACTCTGATACGATTTCGATCTTTATAACTTTTTATAACACCTTTTCATTTTTCCCCAATTTTTTTACTAATTTTTTTCGTTTGATTGGACAAACTACTAATATAAATCAATATAATTTGCGTGCATCTTCGACCAACTTCACCTATGACGGAACAAGGCTTCAGGCAATATTTTATATTTCATATTTTTAATGATATAGGTATTTAAAATTTCAATTTAGATTATTATTATGCATTGTATGTCAATGAAATTTAAGCGTCCGTCTGTTTTTTTATAATCGTATTCAAAAAACAATAAAAAAAAAAAAAACGAAAAGAGTTAAATTACTGTACATTAAAATAATCTTGATTGATTCTTTAAATAATTTTACGTTGTAGGTGCATATCATAATGATTAATTGGTTTTTATTTTTTTCCTAAACATGGTTCTGCTTACATTTGCTTCTAGCTAGAAGAACATGCAATTTTTTTAAGGGAAAACCGAAAAACATTTAGATACATTTGTAACTTACTATTATAGTAGGTAAATTGATTTGTGAATAAACACTTAATTACGGTGCGGTGTTTTGTTCCGACTTTCTTTTGAATTATGCTCTGAAAACCAACAAAATCAATGTGAAGACCGATGGGGATTAATTGTCGGGAAAAAAATATTTTCAACGATGGAAATTTCGTATATATTTGGAAAGCCTTGTATGAGAAAATTGGATCATGTAAACTTGCCCAAACAGCAGGCCAAGAAAGCATAATAATAATTTGATATATATATATATCTGCTACTTTTACATGGTTTTTTTTTTTGTGAGATTTTACATAAGGATTTTTCAATATGTTTTCGTTAAACATCAGTCGAACACTCAAATCGTATTCAGTTATTAATTGAAAACGTTTTCGATAATTGCACCAGTGCAATAACGAGATATGCCCAACATTTTTGAAGAATACATTTTTTCCCATCAAAACCTTGGTCAAACAATTTTTTTTTGGTGCGCTAGCCAGATACGTCTGGACGTATTCCGTTGTTGCACGTGAAAAAAAAAACGCTATTATTTAAGCATTAAAATAATTATTATTGTGTATATTTAATTAGATAATTAAAATTTGCTATTCATATAATTATCTAAAGTAGAAAATGTATAAACCATTATCATAATACTTCAACATCATTTTACTAATATGTGTAAAAAAAAAAATTCACAATTTAAACACGTAGTTTATATTTATTATAATATATTCAGCATAGATGAATTTTAAACATTTTACCCGCGGTGTATGGGCATTCGAACTAAATTGAATGCCATTCGGGCTTTAACGTGTATTCATTTCGTTGCTCTTGAATTGTGATTTAAGGATATAATTGTATTATATTATATTTAGATTTGATGAATTTGGACTGGTGTTAATTATAGTTTAATCATTGCCTACTATTGTACGCAATTCACGATGTCGTGGATGTGTACGTTGGTTGGAGCCTGATGAAAGCTCATCGGGTCTTTTCGACCTCTGGCGCGGCTTTAACAGCCCGCAAGTCGACTTTATGTGCCACTGGCGCGGTATTAATTTACCCGTGAGCACGGTAATAATCTTAACGTGTTTTATGAAAATCATAATTCAAGTGTAAGGAAATTAATACACGTAACAAATTGAATGACATTCAATTCGAATGTGCCTATATATCGGATAAAATTTGTTGAAAAAACCCCCGGGATAATCGAAAAATGACCTCTCTAAAGTACTTCCCCAGTCAGATTTCCTTTTAGAAAAAGTGCTATCATATTAAATAGAAAAGTTGTGCACAAGAAAAAAAAATCTTAATATTTTACTAATACATATATTTCGTCCATTTTCAGGTTTTTTTTTCGGTTTTTTACATATGAGAAAACTCTCGAGAAAATCGAAAAAATGACCCCTTCAAAGTACATCCTTACACTGATTGGTTTTCTTTTCAGAAAAGGTACTACACTTAAAAAATCTGAGCAAAATTTCTGGTAGAAAAATCATTTTATTACCATAAGCTTCTTCGATCCACTCAGAATCCAAAATCGTTGAATTCGTAATACCGTTGTTATTTTTATTGGTTCGATCGTACCGAGTTTTCACTAGAAAACTATTGTCCGATCGTCGTATCTCACCGGGCGAACGGGGTGAAAATTTGTTATCGTCTTCGCGGAGGAAAATTCGGGTGAAAATTGTCGACTACCAGCGATGGACATCGATCGTCGGGACGGGGGGCGGTCATTTTCGGAGCCGGGGTTGGGGGTGTAGTGAACGCTGCCGCTGCCGCCGCCGCCGCCGGGGACAATAGAAGTGGGAAAAAAAACCGTACGGAGAAAAAAAAAGAAAAAAAAAAATGAAAAGAAAAGAAAAGAGCGAAGAAACTCGACGGGCGTCCCTGTCCGGCGAGGCGGTCCGCCGGACGACGGACAGATGGCGGCCCGCGCGCGATGTGGAACGCGCGCACCGTCGGCTAAAAACCCGAGGAAACGCCGCGGCGAGGGGACGGCCGGCGGCGGGCGGGGAACGGACACGACGGCGTAGCGGATCCGGACGGCAGCTGCGCACCTGCGCGCGGGCCACCCGCCGCCGCATCGCCCGCGCCACCACTCGTCCCGGGCCCCACATCGTCGTACACGACATTCCTGCGACGAGCGAGCGACACATCGGTTGTTCCCCGCGCACGCGTCCTTTCCACGTCCATCGCTCTGCACACACACACACACACACACACACGCACGCACACACGCGCGCGCCCGACGACGACGACGACGACGGCGACGATACCAGTTACCACTCACCGGGTAGACTTCGTCCGCACCAGTCGCGTTACGGACTGTCGTTCGGCAGTAATTCGTCTCCGCACAGCATACACAACACTAACATAATTCCCCAGTTCGGTTTTCGGAATTTTTCGTCATCGGACCGTAATATCGAAAACTTCGTATTTTTTTCGCTCCCCCCCCAATCCGTTTTCAACGCGCTCGTGTTTTCGCGATACATTCTCGTCTCGTAGCTACTACAGACGAGACCGCCCCGCGTGTGACATACCCAACCGAAAAAAAGACGTTTCTGCAGTGTGCTCGGCCCACCACGACGACAACCAACACGATGAGGGCCGTCGTCCTGTACGCAGCCCTGTTCGTCGCGCCCTTGTACGCCCTGACGCTCAAGGTAAGTCTAAGTTAAACAAGTCATTCGAAACGTACCGTTTCGCACGTAGCGACAGTAGTGTAATTTCTTAGCGCCCAGCGGTAACGAAACGGGGGTAAGTGCGTTTCGCGGGTGCCGGAAAACATTTTTTTCTTTTTTCCGCGCGAAGCCCAGGCGAGTCGTTTTTACCGCCGTCGCTACCGCTGCTGTACCCGCCGCCGCCGTCCACGCATGCGAACGAATCGGTGACACGAATCGTTTTCTGATACACCGCGAGCTCGTTGTCGCGCCGTGATTATACCGCGAGAGTCCCGAGCACTCGACCCACTAGACTGACCGCCACGACCGTACTCGCGGTCGGGTTCGGGGCTGGTAAACTTTGACGCGGGCGGTCTCGGCGGACCGGCGATTTTTTTTCGGTCGCGCCGCGAAAAAAAAAGAAAAAAAAGGACAAACAAAAGTTACCAACAACATAATACCCCGCGCCGCGGCGTTATCGTAATAATTCGAAAACCCCCCCGGGTATTTCGTTAATTTCGGGTCCTCGGTATTTTTCACAATACGCATAATGTTTTTCCTCCTTCCCCCCATCCCCGTACCGAAACGGTCCGCCGAGAGACCGCGACCCGCGTAACGCAATTATTTTCGATACATTCGACACGGCGATAACTTCGCGGAGCCGCCGCCGCCACCGCCGCCGGTAATTGATCGCAATCCGTTTTCCGATGTCAAATGATCACTTGTCGCCGTTAATTGTCATTGTTACGATTGCGCGGAACAAATAAAACGCGAAAAAAACAACGTCCGTCGCGCGCTGTTTCCCGGGGGTGATGGTAACGGTGGTGGTGGGCGGGGAGGGGGAGGGGGTGGCGAAAACCAACGCCCCGTGCCGCGGCGTTTCTTTTCTTCCCGTCTGTCGTGCCCGTGAAAACGCCGAGTACCCGGCGCAAACGGCGAGTGTTGTCGTCCGCGTATTATCGACCGGGCACCGTAGGAATCCGTTGTGTTGTTGTTGTTATTGTCGCGTCCGAGTCGATCGCGGAGCGTGTGTGCCGGACCGCGCCGCACAGAACGTCAACCGGCCGTTTTCGAACATCGTCCGGAGAACCGGTCGGTAGGGTTTTTTTTTTTCCTTATGTTTGCCCGGTTTTTTTTATATTTCCACCGGCTATTAGTCCGGGTTCGCGGCGGACGCGGACGACGACAAAAAACAAACGAGTACACGACACCGAGACGACGACGACGGTATTTTATACGCCGCGACACGACAGCGGACGACTCGTCGTGAACGCCGAATCGGGCCCGGTCGACCCGCGCGCGGTCAGCGGCCCGGCAGGCACGCCGGAGTCGTCCGGCGTCCGTCCGGATTCTCCGCGGTCCGTTCGCGCGGGTTACCGTTTCACTTTCCGTCGTCCGGTTACTGCGTATTCGTGCACGTCGTGTCCCGCGCGCGGTAATCCTTTCGACCGTCCGAATCCGGGTCCAGAAAGCGGTTTGGTACACAGTACACAGCACTATGGTCGGGTCCCAAACGGATTTCGGGTACCGTTACGCCCAGTATCGGGTCCCGGCTTTCGGCAGCGTACACCAGTCGCGTCCGAATCACGTCCTCGACCACGGGGCGGTTTCCGGGATGGGGGATGAGGACGACAACGGAATTCCAAACGGACCGCGCGCACCGTAGTCGTCGTACACGGGGCGTCTGGACCCCGCAAACCCGTCCGGCAAAACTTCGCCGGAGAAACACCGGTGTACCGGCCTCGGTTAACTAACGACCGGGTGGGAGGCGGGTAGTGTTACGCCGGGACTGTTTGTCGGGGGGATAAAAATTCGCCAGAGAATCGAGAGGAGTGTTATTAGGGGGTGGGGGAGGTGTAATCACTGGCGCGCCGGCGACAACGCGTTATTCTCGTTATTGTCGACTCGAATTCGACAGTGTTACGTTGGAAATGTTTTTTTTTTTTTCTTTACCGATTTACAATAAACGGTTCCCCTGCGCGTGTTTCGCCGCGGTGGGGTTCGCGCGTAAGAAAAACGACGTGCCTGCTGACGTTATCGCCGTAATAAAAACGTTCTGGTAAAAATCCGGCGACACGCGAAAATTCGCGAAGGGTATTGAAGTCACTCGGCTCTCTCTCTCTCTCTCTCTTTCGCGCGCGAGCGCGGGCACACTCTCGAAACGTCCGTAGGTATCCGTTATCGTGTTACGCACACCGGGTGCTCGTAGCCGGCCTTTTTTCGAGATAGCGCCGAGTTTTTCGCCGGGACCCGGAAAGACGACGGGGATAAGGGAGGGGGGGATGGCTGGAGGAACCCGTTGAGAGAGAGAGACGGTGTCGCAGTAACGTTTTCTCAACACAACGGACATTGCGGTCCCCGGCGCTCGTCTCGGCACAAGAGAGGAGCTTCTGATGTCCGTCGGATGATCACGCCCGGCAATAATAACAATTAGGCGTGCCGCGGCGGCCGTTGTCCGATTGCCAGCCCGGCGGTTCCGAAACGCAGGGTTTCGCCGGTACACACTGACAGTGATAACGACTGTGATGACATGCGATCGAACCGAATTCGCGGCGTGATAAAACAACGACGGGGCGGCGTCGCGGTGTGACCGGTACCGCGGCGGCCGCGAACGCGTTAACGGCCGTGTTTGCCGGATTAGAAAATAGAAAAAAAAAAAAAACAATCAATCGCGGGCGCCCGTCGGTTACGATGTTGTTGTGTTATTACAATACACGGTTTTTTTTTTTTCTAACGGTCCGGTCCGCGGCGTCTGATGCGTCGATCGTAAACGGTCGACGCGCGTGCATATTTTCGTAAGATTAATTAGCGACGGCCGCGGCGGAGGGCGAGGTGTCGGGCCGAGCGTGAGGCGCGCGCGCGCGCGAACGGGCGCGTGCGCCCCTCCCCCTCACCCCTCCGTCCACCGGTCCGCGCTGCTTTCTCCTTGTCGCGTCGGGCGGGGCGGGTTACGAGAGATAAAACGTTTAATGCAAAACGAAGAACACACGGGACGGGGCGCCCCGCACCACCACGACGACGACGACGACGGCGGCGTCCCTTTTCTCCGTCGTCGTCGTCGTTTCCGCCGCCGCCGTTGTCGTAACCTGAGGGGCTCGGTTATTAAATTTCGCCCGGCGGCAAAACGCTGTCGGGCGGAGGGTTGTTTTCCACATGTGCCGGCGGCGCGCGGCTGCGGCGGAGAAGTGGGCCGTACGCCGCGCGCGGGACAATCAATATTTCCCGACGTTGCCGCGGCGCGCTGCACGCTCTCTCAACCGCCTCGGCGCTCCGCCCGCGTATGTCCCGCGGCCGCCCCTCGCGAGCGCGGCGGTGAGGGGGGAGGGGGGACGGGCACACGGGGGTGGTTGCGAGTCGCCGCCGGCTAACGTCTTGACGCGTGCGGACGACGGCGACCGCAGGGTAATTACGGCGACGGTTTCTCGTTTTCGTTCGTCTCCCTTTCTTCTTTTTCCCCGAACCGTGCGTCGGCCCGTTTCGCTCGTTCCGCCACCCGTTTGAACAATATGCGCGGTAAGCCGGAGAAGAAACCGCGTGGCACCCGTACCCCTACGGTTTTCAGCACGATGAACGGACGGCGTACCGCGGTGGTTGGGTTGACACCGAAGACACCGAACGGTGGGAAATATTATACGCACGACACGCCGTGGACGGGGTTAGGTTAGGTTAGGACCGAAATCGCGGAGAGGCGCAGAGTTTTTCCCGCCGCCGAATCGTTTATTGTCGAATCGCGTAATCAGTGAATTCGACAATGGCGTCCTTCTATTTTTTTTTTTTTTCTGTAACAAAAAAATCTGATAACGACCTGTGGAGTCGACTGTCGATGAAACTTGAGGTTACGTTTACAAATATCATTGTAATAGGTTAGGGTACGTTGTGATTCACGACTCCCCGGCTATTGACAGCAGTGCGATTTCGGGTCTTTGACATTAGGCCCGATCACGCCTTTTTTTTTCGAAGACATCGGCCGATTATTCTCATTGGCTTACACACGTCACTGTCAAGCACTGCGGACGTATTTCTCCGGAAAAGTCACTGTCGTCGCCGCGGATATTAAACAGAGTCTTTTCGCGCGTCGGCTCTTTGACAAATCCGAAAAAAATGAACACCGCCGTACGTATTCGTGCGTGTGTGCAATCGGGTCAATCGTGTCGAGTTGTAAAACACGTTGTCATCGCCGTGGTACGATCGAGTAATTCGTCACGTTCAAAAAACGATTCGGATTGACAGAAAGTCCGGTCAGTCGCGTCGGTACATTATTACATATAGCAGATGACACTGCCGACGGGCGTGTCGCTGTTTCCGGGGAGGGGGACGGGGGGATGTTAGATGAAAGGGATGTATAAAGAGAATATGCAATTTATGTCTGTGCGTACAACGACAAACGGCCGATGTTAAGGAAAACGATTTCGAGCGGAGTATTATCGATTGTATTTCGTTTTCCGTTGTGCCGCCACAGTCCCCCGGAAATGCGTTGAAAACCGTACCGGAAATCGTCAGTTCGTTCCCGTCCGTTAAGACGTCAAGGGAAACGGAACGATTATTTTCCCTGTGCGCCGAGGCTGGATCGAGACAGTTCCTGTGTACGATTCTCGATTGGAGGGAGGGCGAGATTTCCGGTAAGCGTGGATGGGGGCAGTTGTTCAGTTACATGTTTCGAAGTTACGTGACTCGGTTACTTTTGTAACTTGTAATCAGTCACACGATTTTCAAGTAACTTTTCAACGCGACAAAACGTATTGCGACCTGTAACAATAGATACACGTATAACGATGTGAGTTACAAAAAATCATCTCGTACCATTAATTCCGTCACGAGTGTGACTATCGCGTCTATCGCGTAAACGAGTTGAATTTCTTCCGTCGACAGGAAACTGTACTGTTATCATTTCCGTACGGGTTCAACACATTGTACGTGACCCGTCACTCATAGCGTAACCGAATTGCCGTTGACCGTAGCTCGCAACCGGTCGCCCGGAAAATCGAAGCGCCCCGTCGTGACCGTGCCGGCGGGAAAGTGGTACGTCCCATCGAGATCCGGCCGGAACGCGCCCGAGAGTGATTTTTTTCGCCGAACGTTTATTTCGCGACCCCATTCACGCCGCACGAGAGTGTTGCGGCCGCCGTTAACGGCGTCTTACCAGCTCCGCGGGAATACGCAGACAACACGTCCGACGGAGCGGACCGTCGACGAAACGGTTTTCAGCGATCATTTCAACGACGGAGCCGGGGCTTTTTTTTAATTTTCGGAATTCCGAATGTTTCCGCGAAGGTTTTTTCGCTACTGCCGTCGTGACGATGGTCGGCTTACTCTCCGTCCGAGAGTGTTGACAGCCGCGACCGCCGTCCGTCCGTCTCTACGTCTCGTCTCGTATATCACGCCTCTCTCACTCTCACTCTCTCTCTCTCACTCTGTCTCCGCGTCCGACGCGATCCGCATTTTCCCGGGCCTGTTTCCGGATGTTCCGCACGTATCCCATTCCGTCCCGTCCTCGTCACGCGACCTTACCGGCGCCGTAATCGAATCGTTCGTCCTTTAACGGACAAGCCGGCGCCTCTACGATATTATTACAGTTCCGTCGCGCCGCACTGCGCTTCCTCCGTCCGGCCATCTCGATCCGTTACGCCCGCAGTACTCCCCCGCCGTTTCGCCGACGGCCACGGGTCCACGTCCCGGTATTTTCATTCCCGACGCGCGCTCCAAATCCTCCAAGCGTATCGGTTCGTAAGACCTTTTCGGTTTCAGCCTTTCGACGTTGTACACGGACGGACGGTACGCAAACGGGAGAAACGTTCCCCCCGCGCCCCGATACGGTCTGTCGTAACGCAACGACATCGGCGCCGGGCGCGGGTCGCCGGTCGGGCTGTTTGCAGAAACCCTTAGCGCGTTAATGACGTCACGCCAAATTAAACCGCGCGGACGTCTTCAAAGTCTACATTGTGGAAACGGTCCAAATAACGGCGTACGCCGCGCCCCGGTGTAATTTTCTGCGATTTTCTCGGCCGCGTTTCGCCGGAATTCAATTTTGATTTACGCGAACGCGAAATCGGCGATTTTTTCGGCCGGTACACCGGTAAGCGCGTATGTCAACAATGTAGCGCCGCTGAAAACCTCGTTTTCCCCCCCCCTCTTTGTTTTCCGGCTTTTCGTTTCCCGTACGAATCCATTGTTTCATCGCGGCCGTGACGTCTGCGGCGGGGGTTTTTTTTTTTTTTTTTCATTAAGGGACCGTCAATTTATCGCTGTGAGCCGCCCTAAAAGATTGGTTGTTATTATTAATTTTTACGAGCTCGGATTTATTTTTCGCCCGCGTCCGTTCGTTAACCGCGATGTTTTTTTTATGTATATATACATTTACCCATCCTCCCCCCCGTCCCGTCCCGTCGGTTTGATATGATTTGTCGAACCCGCGCGCCGTTATTATTAATACGAACCCATTTCGTTCGTCGCACTGTTTGCGTTCCTACGGGAGGGTGTGACAGAGAGAGAGAGAGGAGAGAGAGAGAGAGAGAGAGACGCTAATGAGCAAAATGTCCTCCCAATCGCAATTATTTCAGTGTCTACATTACACGACGGGGGTTTTTCGGCCATATCGATAAGCGCAAAACGGCAATAAACTCGCGTTTTACATCGACACTGTCGTGCGATTCGCTCCCGTTATGAAATATTTGTGCGCGTAGGTCACAAATCGATGGCAGAAATAATGGGCGAAAAACGTGATTTTCCAATTCCGCCGTCGGGTTTTCTGTATGACGATGGCGCGTGGCGTGTTTCGTTTGGATTTTGAGCGCAGCGGCGGAAGTGCCACCGCCGGGTTTAACCGTGGCGGGTGAGTTTGTTTCCCCGGCCGCAGTTAACAGTTTTTCAACCAGAAATATCGTTCCGGTTTTCAACACGTGGCATCTTTTCCGCACGGGAATCGTATCCGGTTGATGCATTCGGGAGCTTGTTTTTCACGTGGCTGAACTTATTGGGTACGGCACGGTACGGTTGTAATGTACTATGACGTATTATCTATCGGTGCGCCGGGGTCGGAACTGCAGCCGCCGCCGGTTCCGTCGCTTGCACGGACCTCGCGATGGCGACGAATGGAAAACGTCGACGAAATCGTGCGTATAGAGACGTATTGCGTAGACAGTACCCATTAAAATTAAAAAACTAAAACCGTAAATCGGTGTTGATCCGGCGGGAGCTTCGCGCGTACGCACGGATTATTATGTAGGCTCGCCGCTCGCTACGCGGACTATGAATCGAAAAAAAAAAAAATCGAAAAAAACGTCATAATGAATAACGGAAAACATGATTAATGATAATTGTCACTGCGATCGATGCGAACGGAACGCGGCGGCGGTTACGACTCGTACCGACGAGATTACCGCGCGTTCGGAGAAAGTCGCGGCGTCGTTGTCGTATTCCTCGGTCGTGCAAACGGAAGACCATTGCCCCGAAGACATAAACAACAAAAGGAGGCGAAACGGGTGACGAGCCGATGGCGCGGCTTGCACAATGCGAAACGCTGTTGTGTTTGAGTCGGAAAGTCGGAATGGGCAATGCGTGTAGAGAGCGATTCGATTTCTATCCGTGCGCGACGGCGGTGGTAGACCGTGGCCGGCGAGAAACGGATTCCGTGCGGATTGCTGTGTTTATCCATTTTCGCGCGCGAGTTACCCGGGGTAATTGATTTTCGGGAGAAAAAAAAAAATCGCGCAAACCGATCGCCGGCTATTGCCGGTCGTCCGGGAAAAGCGCGAGGTGAACAATAGCGGCCTGACCTACTCGGTTCGCCGGCCGGATGAAAAATACCGCGGAGAGAGTTCCCGAACGGAGTTGTTGCGATCGGCCCGCGGACTCGCGGTAAAAACCGCAGGAAAACCAATAGAACGTCGCTCGCCAAGGCTCCGGAATCTAAAAGAAAACGAAAAAACAAAATGAAAAAAAACCGCCGCGCTTCGACGGTTCCGAAAATCCGCGTAAAAGGCGTCCGGCGTTCACCGACATCCCGCGGAGTGCGCGCGCATGTCTCTCCGTCCTCCCGTGGTGGTGGTTTATCGGCCGCGCAAGACGGTTTTTCGCAAAAAAATCGCGCGTTCGACCGCCGCCGTCCGACGAAAAAAAAAAAAAAAAAAAAAAAAACACGCGACGAAAACCGCGGCGTCGCGGCCGCGTGTCCTTTGTTCTCGACTGTTGCGTTTCGATTCGTAATGCGGGAAACCCGAACGGAATCCAGTCAATCGCCCGAACCGCGGAAACGACTGCGCAAAGCCGTCGCCGGTGGCGTGGCAGTATGACGCGATAGGCGGACGGATTTGACGGTCGCGGGTTTTTTAAATTTTCGCCTTGTTTGGCGCACTACCGCGCCGCACCGTTCGTCCGGACGCGCATTGCGAGTGGGCGCCGCTCGGGCGAAATGCGCGTAGTTTTCGGCCGCGGCGGGGAAAAAAGAAACAAAAAAAAAAAAACCGACGATTGAAATAATTATTATTATAACGCGAACGACAGCAACGGACAATTTAAACATTTACGTTCGGCGTTCGCGTTTAATTGCGGTACGGGCAATTCGTTCCCCGGGACGGTTTTCACCGTGTTTCGGCGCTACCGCGGTAAATTCCGCGTGCGGCGCGTTTTCGTTTATTTTCTTTTTTTTTTTCTCGTTCCAAATCATTAACCGTCGCGGACGTTTTTGTGAGAAAAAAAAAACCGCGACCGCGGACGGATGCAATCGGCACCCCTCTGCGAACCGCGTCCGGTAATCGCGCGACGTCGGCACGAATCACGGACCGTTTGAATTCCTGCGGACGGGGCGACCGTCGCCGTACCGTTTCCCCGTTCCGCCCTCCCCTCCGCCCGCCGTAATCGAACGGGATCGAATTGAATTCTGATCCGGAATCCGGCCCCCCGAACGAGCGTGTACGACGCGTCGGCGCGCGATTGCAATTAAAAAGGGGGCGCCCGCGAACGCCGCGGCGAATAACGAACGCGGCCGCAACCGCCGGAACACGTGCACCGTAGTAACGTGTCCTGGTGACACGGCGATCGCTGCTGTTGAATCCCGTCGTCGTCGGCAACATCGAAAATCGCTGTTGTCAACGGTCGCGTAGGTGTGTTTTTTTTCGTTTTTTTTTTTTTAACGTCAAAGCGCGTCGGTGTATTGAAAAAGAAACGGAAATCGACGAGCGGAAAAAAAAAAAAAGCGCGCGAGCTTACGCGATTGTGACAATTGAACGTTGTTATTATTATTATCGTCGTCGTGGTAATGACGATACCATTTTTTCTTTTATTTTTTTTCGTACCGACAATCGCGCCCGTACCGTTACGCGGTAAATGTCTATAATTGCGACGGGCTCGGAACGCGAAAACCCGACGACGGGGCTATAATACCGGAGTATCGTTTTTCTGAAAAAAAAAAAAACAAAAAGAAGTCCATTGACGTTCGGTTGGGTGTATACGGTTTACGGATTATGCGTACGCCGAGTTTATCTCGAAATTAGCGGGCGGGAATGACAGCGCGCCGCGGGGGGTAAGGAGGGTCGGAGCGTTTGTTGCTGCAGCGTACGCGCGCCAACCGGATAATACGGGGGAATTATCGAGAAAGTTTACGACCGGTAGGGGAACACAAGGGAACGGGTTATCGATTATGGCAGGTACCTATGTACACAGGCGCCTGAGGCGAACGAGTGAGAGAGAGAGAGAAGACAATGCGAAATCTCACGCGCGTAGATAACGCAGGCTGCCGACGTCGCGAGGGGTTATCGCGAAGCTCGTTATATTATACGGCGTTAATGAACCGCTTAGGATGGCTTTTAAAAGCGCGCAGTTTGAAAGCCGGCGATTTCGAGGGCACAATGATATAAAAAGCACGTGTTACGTACGACAGACTCGTCGTCGGAAAATCGGTAATTATAAATATGATATGCGTCGTGTTATGCGGCGGCGGCGACGGCGGCGACGGCGGCGAACGGCTTACGATTCAGCCGGTATCCGGGACAAACGTAATAATGACACGCTGGATTAATGACTGTTGGACGATCGAATCCAGAAGAACGCGCATCATAGTGAAAACAACGGATCCTTCGCTTCGCTCAGAATCTAAAATGTCCAATGTCGCCCAATCAAACGATTTTGTGTTGTGCGTTCGATTTCGAAATACGCTGCTTTCTAGGCCTATCGGCCTATAAGAGGATCCGCCCGCGCTTATTGTGGACGTGACCCCCCAGTAGAGGCGTCAGCGGCTTCGTCACGATCGAATTAAGTTGGCCGCGTACGTGTGGAACCTTATCGTTAGATTGTACGACGGTAACGGGAAATGTAAAGTGCATCTGCGGGAACGTCTATGTGGCCATAGTTTCAGTTCCCGACACTACCGACCGGCAAAGGTCGGCAGACCATTTTTTAAATAACCTACAAAGGTTATTTAAACGAGATCCGTTTTGGCTATTTTTTACTGCAACTGTTCCGGGGAAATTCACGCCACCGCTGACTCAACCCGTGACTGACCCGGGGCTCACGTCCCGCGATTTTTGAGAACCGATAGTCGACGACGATTATTACTATCGAATCGCAAAATGAATCGCACCAGTCCGATATCCGTGCACACTCCGACCGGACGTACGGTGTGGCCGTGGCGGGAGAGGCGGCAGTCCGTTTTTATTGATTTCCAGAGCCCCCGTTTCCTGTGTGCGTGTGTGTATACACGCGTATACTGTTTGTTTTTTCCCCCCATTGTTTTATTTCGTGTATGTGTGTGTGTGTGTGTTTTTTTTTTTACGTTTTCGGTTTCCTCGTACGTATACCGCGTACGGTACGCCGTATAACAATAACGCACGCGCGCCGCGCATCACATCATCATCGTCGTCATATATGTAATACAATGGAACCGATTTTTTATGCGGTTTTTTTTTTTTTTATATATATATATTCACCCTCCCCTTCGCCGAAGATGAACGAAGTTTAATTTCCACGGATACGTCGGAAACCGTGCGCGCATTATGTTACAGCATGTGCCGGTCGTACACCACCGCGGACAGAGTCACGTTTCCAACACGCACAAATTAGATTCGACTTTCGGTGTGGCTTCCGCACGGGCGCCTCCGGGCCGCGCGCGGTGAGCGGGTAACAATGGTATCGTTACGACACACGACTTTATTTATGTTTATATATTGTATTTTTATCGGGCACGTTGTATCAAACGGTAATAGGTACTTGTCGGTTATCCTCCCGGCCTCAGAAACCGATTTTTTCCGGTTTATACAGCTGATTAAAATGCACATAAAGGGTGCTTTTCGTTTATCAATCGCGATCCAGCGGTCGGCCAATTTGTCACCGATACGTAAGTTGAATACTCGACGCGATCGGGTTCGCGACAACGTGTTATGGTTGCCGTTTTACCGCCACGCCTCGTAATATCGATTTTTGATTATTTCATTTGACTTTGGCTTTTCAAAATGGATCGGTAAAGAGAATGTCTACCACGACCTCCGTAACACGCCGCCGTCGGAGTTAGTAGGAAAGGGTAATAGATTTCGTATAGCCCGGTCACTATTAGATGATAACGCCCTTCCCTATCACGATACGCCTCCGGTATGGATTCGAAACCGAAGCCCGGAGACGTGTTCCAGCGACATATTATAACAGTATATTGCAATCTGCAGTCGGTGTACACGCACGTGATATTAACGCGTTAAGCGTATCAAAGTCGTTGTGTTTTGATGGGGCGGCTGTCATTTGCAAAGTCAGTGTCCGTCGTTTGAAAATACGTACACGAGAAAAATCCTCCGAGAAAATCGTCCTGAAAAACAGCAGTGGATAATAATGGAAACGCTCGTTGGCGATTCGATTACGAATGTAAATAACGCTCGGTTCCAAATATCTCTCGGACAATAAAACAAACGCGCGTTTTTCAAATACACTCTGCGGGCGCAGAGTGTATTTTGCAAGTGTTATAAAATCCAGAATTATATATATATAAAAAAAAAAAAAAAAAAAAACTGTATACTTTTAGCAATAATATTATTGTCTGTGCGAAATTCCGACGAGAACAAAATCGTATCGTAATGTGGGTGTAGCGGTAAAATTGAAAAAATCGGGCCGAACGTCGCGCGGACGGACGAAATGTGTGTTTGGACTTTGATACACGTATCCGAACAAAACGATATTCGGATCCGGATGACTACGCGCGGAGAAACGGGTCGAGACTAGAATAAAATATGCGCGGGTGGGGTGTGTGGAGACCCGCGGAAAAAAAGAGAAAAAAAGAAAAAGGTAATAATATACACTCGCAAACGTTATTGCCGTATGCCGAAATATTATTATAATGCGTTTCCATCTACTGGACAGCACGCGGCGCTCGTGCGATAACGCTGTACCCGATAATGATATTCACGTCGCGTATGCACAGTTCATACATGTATACGGAGTGCGCGGAAATGAAAAATAGAAAAATCGTGTCGTGTAACGGCGGTGTACGTACGTGTATACGGTGAGGCGGCGGAGTGGAAAGTGACTTTTAAGTGCTCGGACCCGGCCGAATTTATTTTTCTCTCGTACAGTGAGCGCCGCCCCCCCCCTCCCCGCGCAAATACAGGTACTGTAACGCGCGACCGGAGACATTTTCAGCGCCCTTTCATCACAAGAACGCCTTTCAGACGCCGAGCGGAACGAGAAACGTATTGCGAACGTTTCACAACGATGTTTATATTTTTTTTTATTATTTTTTTTTTTTTTTTTTTTTTTTTTTTTTATCTGCGAACAATTTTTTTCTACCGGAAATCTCTCTCCGATTTTCAAGCGCGGCGCCTTTACTGGGCGGTACTCTGTATTAGTTTCGGTTTCGTTTTTTTTTCAATTCGACTATGTTAAAAATATCCGATCTCGAAGTTCGGACAAAACATTTATAATCGCCTTTTCTAGACGCGGTAAAATTGTCAAAACATTTTGATCATTTTTTAGCTATTTATAGACTTTTTAATTTCGCGTCATATTTATTTGTTACGTATTCTGTTGATAAAACTGTTTGACCCAATAAAAATGCTTGAAAATTTAACGAGCGGTTCGTTAGAAGAAGCCGTTATTTGTAGTCCAAAAACAAAAAAGCGAGTGTAATCTAGAATTTTTTTTTCAAAACAATTTAACATCAAATTTTGATAAAAATCGTAAGTATTACGGCCTTTTAAAAAATGTGTAACCGAACTTCGCTCCGAATCGTTTTTTGTTAGCAATGTTTAATTGTTGTGTACAAATAAGCATTAAATTCCCCTCTATAGCCTACCTTCCCAACTGCTCACCTACAACAGTGGCTTACCCATCGTGCGAAGTATGTCAGTCTTTTTTTTTCATACTGGAATTTCGATGTTTAATGCACTTTACATTTTGTATCGAACACTTTGGGCTCTAGAACCAGGTCCAGCTGAACGAGTGTAAACCCGCTTTGGGATTGACGTTTAAAAAATAATACAGCTATTTTACCACGTTTCAAAAGATTACTAGGCCACCGCGCTCAAAGCCCCCCGTGGATCCACCTCTAAATACGTCCCCGTGTACGATCTTTCGGCCACCACCCGCGAGGGTTAAAAACGAGACGCTAAACGAACGATTATGTAAGACGTATCAGTATGTAATGCGTTTGTCTAATTTTTGAACGGGAAAATGTCGAATTTTGAGTTAATCGCAGGGGCGTCCTTACGGGTGAGGAGATGGAGACGATCGCCCTCCCCCATCCCGTGAGAAGTGGACTTACGTTGGCATTTGACACGGTCATCGGTCCAGAAGTAGATAAAATCATATATAAACAAATGTATTTAATTGACGTAATTTCTTTACTTATCAATCGTTAATATTAAATTTAATTGAGAATTTCGCTCCCCACCCCCCTCCTCCCACAACGAAAGTCCGGAGGCGCGTGTTCCCGAACGCGGTAATTACAAGCCGCACATTACCGTCTTCTATTGTTTTCAGGTACCCGATTTAGTCTCGCATAAAATATTCATTTTCCGACGGTACGTGAACGCCGCCCGGCCGATGCGCGAGCGCACACGCGTCTCGTCTTTCGCATGATAAATAATTTACCGACGGGAAATTGTTTAATCGCCGGTTTTTGTTCACCGGGCCGTGCGACGACACGGCGAAATACGGAGTGATAATAATAACTGTCGGCGGGAAACGTTTTCCGAAATAACGCCGTGAACGTATTTCTCGTTTTTGTACGGAGAGAGAGAGAGAGAGAGACGTCTGACAGTAGTAAGACAAAAAAAAAAAAAAAAAAAAATCGAAAAACGAGATCATAAAATACGAATTTAACAGCGCAGTGCGCTGTTCTGCGTCCGTTGCGTAAAGTAAAGGGGGAGGAAAAACAAATCGGTCGACATCCGATCCGCGGAATCAACAACGGCTGGTGTAGGTTCGGGATGAAAAAACCGACGTCGTTCGTGTTTCCTGCCCCCCCCCTACCGGTGAAAAGCGTTGATTTTTCACGACGGCTTATCGTGTTTCATCAGCACGGCGTATGACGTCGCGCGGACAACGATAGACCGGACTGCGGCTGCTGTCCGGCCGGGTTTACCGACGATTTCCGCGAGTCGGTACTACGGCAATACAGTAACGACGGGCGTACGAGATCGGTATCACCGAAATCGTGTTTTTTACGAGGTCGATCGAGGTGACAGAGAAAAAAAAAACAAAAACACACGCGCGAAAATATCGGGACGTTGGAAACGAAACGCGCGCGCGTCCGCGCGACATTTGATATTTTTACGTCGCACGAACCGAAGACGTTCGACGCGGCACGACACGACAACAGTTTGTACGAATTCGGCGGGCGCCTCTTGCGTTATTATCGTAATGCGATTTCACAACCGATCGTTTGTGTACGCCGGCGGGAGGGGCGGGGGCAGGGCCGGGCCGCGTTTCTTCGCGTTCCCGTTCGTGCCAGACAGCAGTCGAAACTTATTTAATAGCAACATCGCATTGTTGTAACAATAATAATAATGCGCGCGTCGTAAACTTTTTACGCCAAAAGGGCGGGCGGCGGTGAGATGGTGTAGGGGGTGGGTGGGGGGGGGTTAGGTATATAATATTATCATCACGTTATGTTGTTTCGTGTACAAGACGTTAAAACGGCGGCGAACAGCCCGAACGCCGGCGCCGTTTTTAAACCCGAGCGGTAGGAAAATTTTGCAAAGTTTTCGCGAAATGAAAAACGGATGTCGGAAAGTAATACAATATCAGGTATTATGCGCGGCGCCGCGTCCGCGCGTCTCTGACGATCGTCGCGTTTTTTCGAAAACGAAACGCAATTTCCGGCGAATCTCTTTGCAGACAACATTGCATTACTACTTATAACACCGCGGGCGCGATTTCTGTATAGCTGTTCGCGCGGCGTTTCTCGTTTTGTCAGTTTGTAATTAATAACATTTTTACGTTTTTACGTTTTCCCCTCCCCGTTTTAATATCGTCCGCCACTCGGCGCGAGAGTCGCGAAACAAAAGAAAGATTAATGCCTTTTCCGTCGAGGTGTCTGTCTCGTACGGTGACGACAGCCCGGCGTCCGGATGCCGCGGCGACGCGCCGTCCTCGAGTTTTTCGATGCGAAACGAAAAAGTAAAAAAAAAAAAAAGAAAAGAAAAGTAATATCGTTGTTCCGCGTAATACATAGGTACAGGGTATTTACGTTGCCCGCAGTATTGACCGTGACACATATGTGCCGTCGTCGTCGTTTTTCGTTCTCATTTAACCGCGCGGCCGCCGAATTTCCCCCCTCCTCCCCCCCCGAAAATGTCCGTGACTCCATTAACCGCACGACGTTTTTGCGCGGTCCCTCCGATCGCGTCCGGACGAACGGGCGGTCGGCCGGGACGGACAACCGTGGGCGAAGCAACAGTTTTGAAATTCAGACGGTGTTCGGTGCGCGTTTTCGCTGTTTCAAACGATTAGTTTTGTTCGACGGACAATGACGAACGATTTTTTTCCGCGTAACACACATTATCCGCGTGCGAAGTTACCGATCAAGTGTTTGTTCGTGTTCATCCGCGGACCAATCAAATTGTTACGTACTCACCTTTTACCTCAGACCAAATGATATTATCCCAGCCGCCAACGTCTCCTATCTGCGTCTGAATGTTACAAACGTTCTACGCCAGCGTTTGCCGCACTTTTGGCCGCTCTTTCTCGGTGTCTGGACCGAATGTGCTCAGACCCGGGAACGGAAGTTATTATTGTTTCATAGGCGGATCGGCACGGTACAAAAGCCGGGTTGAATTTCACTGCGTGTCGTTGGCGAGAAAAGGGCGTACTTTGCACATGCCCCGTACAGACCGGGGTACCGGGGTTCTATACACACGTACGGCGTTCGTATCAATTAGGACGCGTGTCTTTCGACGGTTTAGAATTTCCAGACCCGCGTCCCTGCCGTTTGTACGTTCGAATTTCACGTTTATACGCGAGAAATGCCAGGTTCGGACCACGGACACGTAAAATGTAATAAAACTGCACCGGCGACAATATGCTATTTCGTATCGATTATAAAAAAAAAACCAATGACGTAACACCGAAACACCGGTTGTATTGAATATACACCCGCGTCCGTTGTCTTCGTATCTGTGTACCAAGGGTCTCGTATGCGAGAATACGTGGCGGATAAAACACAACTACGAAAAAGGCCCGTTAAATAAACGTTCGGTTAAACCGTTACAAGGAAAATGCTGGTCCTGACGACGGGGCTTGTATAAAAGTAGTATTTTTTTTTTCAGCCCGACGAACGGCGGGTCTTCGAAAATCGGTCCGAACGGGTCGCGTCCCGTAACAAATGGTCCGAACGCCCCTTTCTCGCCTCTACCGCGAATATTATTACGTAGAGGAAAAAACCGTTTCCGCTGCGGCGGCATTACCGTCCGGACGACTTTATAATATACGCGCGTACGACGTAAACTTTATCGCGATCCGCCGGAGTATTCCCCGGCGTCCCATTCGTGCGGCGGATGCGCGAGGGGCTCGCGGGCTCCCCCCCCCGCGTGCTCTTTAATCAAAAGTCGGGTACAAAACGGCGCGCGGCGGTGAGTTATTGCGCGCGGTTAATCAGCGGACGCGTTTATAATATCGCCGCGGCCGTAGGTACACGCGAAAGAATGGGAATTTCGCCCGGGGGGAGAGGGAAAAAAAAACCCGACCCGAGAGGGAGCCACGCGCGTTCGCCGCCGATACCGGGGAAACGCCTCCGGGTGGTGGCGGCGGCGGCGGCGGAGAAACGGGCGAATGTTTATGCGTCCGCGTGTTATGCTCGGATCTCGAACCCGCGGCGCTGCGACGGGGCACGCTCGCGATAATTATCAAGTCGTTTGTTCGCTTCTCGTTCCGGTACGGGATCGATTAACCCGCCCGCTCTGCCCCCTCTGCCCCCCCTTGTTACCACCTCTGACCCCCCACTCCCCCCCTCGGGTTACTCGATCGCGCACAAAGACGCTGCGAAACGCGTAATAACTGTCGCTAATACGAATATCGAACGGCGCGCGCGGGGCAACGTTCAAACAATAATTTAATATTGCGCGCGAGGGTTCCCGGTGCCCGCGGCGGAATCCGCGCGCAAACGGTTTCGCGCCGGGGGTTAACAATAACGTCGTGCATTACTTTGTGCGGCGCCGAACACTGTTTTACACGCCCGTAGGGAACGCGTAGTTGTACCCGGCCCCAGTGGCCCCGCGCGTAATGATCCGCGAACGAAACCGCGTCGGACACTTCTTCTTCCCGGGGCCGCGAACCGAACGCCCGAAACCGCGAGACGGCGCGGCGCCGGCGTTCGGCGTGTCGCGACGTTGTTTGACCCGGCGCTTTTCCCCGCGACCCGGCCGGAGCCGGTTGAATTGCCGGACGAACGCTCGTAATAGCCGTTGCGCGGGGGAGGGGGGGTGGAGGACTTTCGCGCGCTTTTGCCCGGGAAAAGCGTGTTTTAAATTCATCCCGCAAGACGCGGAACCGCATTTGAACGTCGTCGATCTCATACACGGGCGCGCGTCATCACTCGAAACACGCGTGTTTTGTTACTACGATATTGCGTTTTACCTACGAAAAAAAAATGTAAAAAAAAATACACGCTTATTACGGAAAAACGATTATAATTTTGCCGCCCCGGGGGATTTCGCGCTCCTTCCCCGACCACGCTCGTATACATATCGGCTACGCCCCTGTAGTCGCACGCATGTATTGACAATTTTGCATACGCCCACGCCGTCGTCATAATAATATTGTTGACGGTGGCGAATATTTATTCAAAATTTAAAATTAAAAAAAAAAAAAAAAAAAACCTCCATCGATTTCCCGTTGGCAATAGGTATAATATTATTATAATAATATAATTGGGCCGTACGACAGATCGCCGTGTACCGTAAAAATATCGAACGTTTCGATATTGTACTGCAAAAGCGAATCGGGGGAGGGGGGGAAATAATAATAATGATAATGTATTCGTATAATAGCAATATTCTAATATATATTTTAAATATTCAAATGCAATTACGAGAAAAAGAAAAACCCGGGCTTTTCGCTCGCCGATGCAGTCCCTATCGATGCACGCCCTTCAAACGCCAAATACACTTTTTGACGTTTACAACGTTATTATAATATGATAATGAGATATTCGATGAAAAAAAAAAAAAAAAAATGTTTATATTTACATAAATTCAAATACGTTCGTCTTATCCGAATCGGCACGCAGAAAGACGCAGGGCCGAAATTTCCGATGGTTTGAAACGATCGCATCGATCGTCGCGTAGCGAATTAAAAATAATTTCAACGTACGGGGCGATTCGCTAAACGTATTATTCACCCCATTTGTTCGCCTGTTTACGGAGTTTTTAATGTACTTGGGTACTCGTTTGAAAACCCGAAGTTAGTTAGTATCGCCACGGGATACTCTTTAAACGTTGTGAAAAATCGAAGTATTTGGAAATTCCGAAAATCAAAATTCGAATATATCGTGCGAAATATAACGTAAACGAAAAAGTGGCGTTGACGCTTAGTAGTGACCCAACCCGTGTACTCGATTCCTTTTTTTTGTTTAACTTGAGGCGGGGTTGAGTCGATAAATACACGAAAACCCGGCCGAGCACAAATGGTTTCGCATTAAATGTCGTGCTGTTATATTCGCGGCTAAGCCGTTATTATTATTATATGTTTGCGAACGAGTACGAATTAAAATTGTTCAGATAGTTTCTCGTTCGTAAGAGAATATGGAAATTATTACAGCGGTTCGGGGGTGGGGGAGAGGAGGGGAGGGGAGGCTCGGCTCGGGTGTTCGGGAAACCGATACGGAACTTGAGCTCGGCGTTCGTTTGAAACGCATAGAGTAGGTGCGTTACGCCGCGCACAATAATCGTCGGTTCGCGATAAAATGTGTGTCCACCTCGTGGATTTACCGTAACGAACCCTCTCCGTGCAGTTGCGGACGGGCGCGACGACGATGACGGACGGATAGTAATAATAATAACGACAATAACCGAATACCCCTGGGGTTTTCGTTTGCTTTGATCAGTCGGGTATAATGCCGATACCGTTATGTTGTATTGAATTCAAATCAATACGCAACGTTCTGTTGAGATTCTCGGGCCCTTCGCTCAGAAGACTCTGAAACGGAACGTTTTCGTATACATAAAAACGAACGGCGGCAGCCGGCCGGCCGTATTAAATAACCGAGTAAATGCCTGTACGCGGCAGGTAAACACGTTATTGGCGTAATATTGACGACAAACACGCCGGAAGTGACGGAAATCGCATACGATACGACTGTCGCCTACCGGAGCTGCGTGCGGAGCGATGTGTAACGCCGCAAGACGTTCGTCGCGATATCTCGGACGGCGTTGCACTGCGATCAACACACTCGTGTCGGCCGCGGTGACACGGGACTGATAACGGATAACGTGTTCGGGGGACGATTTCGAGTCGATCGAATTTCGCGTATCCGGAGAATATCGAGGAAATCCGCCTGTACGTGAACTGTTGACCGCGCGCGTTCTCTCGACAGGACGTGCGCTTATAAAAAATATCTCGCTCGGAAATAATTGACGTGTCGACAAACGACCGGCGAAGAACCGCGGACAGCGTTCTCGGCATTACGTTTGATAACAAGTCGACGGATAACGTTTCAAGACCGACAGCGTAGCGTCCGGCAGTCACCGCTGAACAACGCGCGTTTTAAACGCCGCGCCGCGGTCGGCCGGCGACGGCGGGCGCGGCGTGCTCTCGAGTGAATTGCCTTTATTCGCCATGTTTTTCGTGCCCGCGTACTTACGCTCATCGCACGCGACCGCGGACGGTATGATTCCGTTTCGGGCGTATACGGAGCGATTATTTTATCACGAGTCGGCAATTTTCCCGGAGGATTTGACGTGAATTTGAATTATTATTTTGTCACTATTGCAATCGTCGCCGAACCGCTTGTCTAGACTTTGTTCTGAAACTGTTCACAATTTTTCGCCCCTACCCCTAGTCACATAAAATAATGTGTGTACTTTTGATCGCTCCCCCGGCGTAAACTTATTGAAACTGTTGTGACTCGAACGGGCGGGGGACGGGGGCGCCCGTTTCATAATCAAAAGTATAACGCGGTACTGGTTTAATGACGGGGTGTACGGGCGAGAAAATACGCTTTAATCCGGCGTTCTCTGCGGGGGTATATTGACGGTCTCCGGATAAAAGTGGTTTAGTTTGAATTTACATTGTACCGATGGCGAAATGCGGATAACTCAACTTACCTTCTGTGCAAATGTCCAGCACGCCGCTGTACACGATATTTGCGTTACCTCGCAGTAATATTTTTCATGCTATGGACTCGAATGGTCTTCAAGACACCTAAGAAAAAGAAGAAGGAGAAGAATAATAATAAAAAATACATTCGTGTTATATGTTTACTGTAAATGCAATCGGGCCCGACCCGGACCGGCCGGCGTGGCCTTTAAAAACAACGTCCGTTATTTGTTATTATTGTGCTCGCGTTACGTTATGCCGGAGGCGACACGAGTTAACCGGGAAAAACTCTCGGTTAGTTTTCTTTATGCACGCCGTCTGTACAATAACGCAAAATCACTCGAATACATACCGCAGTGTTATAACGACGACTTACAACTGCAACGCCTCGTCGAGAACGGATTTATTAATATTATTTTTTTTTTAAGATTCCGAGTGGGACGAAGAATATATCGGTTTTACAATGATAATTATCTTTTTTTTTAAAAAAAAAAAAAAAACCCGATTAACGAGTATAGCGTCTTTTCCGAAAGGAAACGTTCCTCACGGGGCACTTTGGAGAGGTAATTTTCTGAAATACTCATTAGCATTCCAGATAACCCAGAGGTAAACCCGGTTCTTTTGGGGTGAAAAAAGATTGAAAGATTAAAACCAAGGTTGTCGTCGCAGGCGACCGTTTTTGTCACTGTTTCGTGATTATTAAGTTTTCAACGTTTTTCAAAACAATCGTTGTGGTCGATTGGCACCGCGCGATCGTTTTGTACCGCGTCAATATGACACAATAATGATAATGTACGCGGTACGCTGCGTTGACACGGCAACGCTACGCCCGACCGAACTCCGTTCAGAATCGTTTTTTTACGTTGCTCACGGACGCGTGCGTTCGAATTCCCGCCCGTGTCCCGCGTCCCCGACCGCGGTCGCAGTGGTCGCGCGCGTCCGTCCTGTTTTTACCGCCTCAGACACATCGGGGACGTCGATCGGACACGTTTCATTCGAGCGGGCGGTGCACCGCAATACCGCGCCGGGCTCTCCGCCGTATTACACGTATTACTATTATTATTATTATTACGATAATGATTGCGTTTCGTACGGGTCGCGCCGCTGCCGAAAGAACGCGCGGACCGTTTTGCACGCGCCATTAACCTTCGAAACCTTTTGGCTTTCGCGTATAGGTTATAATTTCCGCCGACGCCGCCCCGTTTCGCGCAACCTCCCCGCCGCCGCCGCCGCGTCCGCGCGCTACCCGCCCGGCACGATAACGCCGCGCGCTACCCGCCCGCGCTCCGCTCCGCGGCCAGCGCCGCCGCCGCCGCCGCCGGCGTAGCGTGTCCGGACCGCCCGATCCTTTCACGGTCCGCCGCGTTTTTAGACGCTCCAGTTCGCGCCGATCAATGGGTTATCCCTCCGTCGGCGTGTACAATAGGTACGCGCCGCGCCCGCGTCACCACGCGCGCCCGAAACCGCACGGCGGCCGTACGGTTTTCGCGGCGCGCGGACGCACGTACCGGTGCCGTGCGTGCGGCGCGTGTGGCGGACATCGTCACGGACGCGGCGCGTCCCGAAGCGGCTCCCGTCGAAAAACGTTCCCGCGGCACTCGACACTGCACACGCGCCCGCGTTTGTCGCGACGCAAACGTTTTCACAATGCATGCGTGCGAACGGGAGCCGGCCGGGCCACGCGCGCCGTTTTCGGCGTTTTCGCCCGGGGGCCCGGACGCAGCGGCCGAAAGAAGCCGGCCGGTACACGGCGAATGTTCGAGTGTGCTATTTGTATTCATTTTATTTCTTTGTTTTTCTGCTCGATTCGAAGAACCGGAACTTTTTCGACAAAACGAAAACGCTTTCGGTCTTTGTGGGGGCCGCTATCGGGTTCCGTGAAGTTTCGCGGAAAACGGTTGTAAAATAAACACGCGAATAACGTTTATTGTGTGTTATTCATAAAACAAAGTGTAAAATATAAATACGCGTTTCTTGAAAACAATACGGGAGCGGAAAACTTTTCGAACGCGTGCCTCCGGTGGCGCGGCCGATATTTTCAACAGTAGGGGAGGGTGGTGGTGGTAGGGACGGAATGTTAGTGAATAATAAAGTCGATATTTAGCGGAACAGATGATCGGTTGTAGCGACAAAGCGAGAGCCTTTTCATAAAAACGAATCAGTTAAGCCGAAATCTGGAAACGATATTCCGAGATCCGAAACCCGAGTTTAAAACCTTTAAACTAACCGAAATTGTAATTTATTCAAGAACCGTACCGATTATTAAGATTCTTAATCCGCCGAATATCCACTCCGGGAAAAAAAAAACCCAGTAAAAACGAATCGTGACGGGCGTTGTAATTTTCGAATTTGAGAACCTGGAAAAACCTTAAAAAAAAAAAAAAGAAGTGCAGTTTTCCCAGAGGGGAAAATAACACGCATTACTAGAAAAGAAAATCTTCTACGGCTTTGTAATTCCGTAAGGATTTCGGCTTCCGCTGCTGTCACTGGTTTTTTTTTTATAGTAATATAGTGACTGCGGCTTTACCGAGGAGCATTTTTCATTAGAGTACTCTCGGAACGCGCCGCAGTATCGAGCCCGAAATGTGTCCTTTATCCTCTCTATACAATGGTGGTGGGGGTGGAGGGGGGGGCGGATCCGCGCGATCGGTCATCGTCGTCGTCGGTCGGCCTCGCGGGTTCCGACTGCACTCGGATGTGTGCCCCGGGAGGCCGCGAAATGTACGCCGGTAAAACGACAACGGCAATAACGCGTAATAATAATGACGGTCGCGCGTAGCGAAATACGAGCGAGGAGTCGCCGGAAGACGGCGGACAAGAGTCGCGTCGGGAGGGCGGAACGCGCGCGAAGGCGGGAGCGGGATCGCGTTACACGCGCGTCGCGACCGACGACGGCGTCACGGCGTTACGGCCGGGAGACGTGACACGTGACGTGACGGCGCGACAGTGCGGGCGACGGCGCGTGGGTTTGGTGGTGGTGGTGGTGGTGGTGGTGGTGGGAGGGCGAGCGACAGTTATACGCGTACACCACGGCGGCGGTGTCCCTCCGCGGATGGGCCTAATTAAAACCGACCGAATTGTCTTGCGTCACCGCGCGCGCGGCACAAACGCGACTCTCGTCGCACCGTCTCGCGGCGGACGCACGCACCGCCGCCGCTCCTGTTATACTATTACGATAACGCGTTGACGGCGGGCGCGGTGACGGACGTCTCGAGTTGAACGTCGCCCCCTCCCCCCGGCGGGCCGCCCGGCCCGTCGCGCTCACTCTAATGACGATTTTTTCGGCGCGCGCGTTTCGACGCGATAACGCTCGGATAACTAATCGCTCGTCGCGCGCGCAACGCTCGTAATGTATACGCCCGCGGGTAATTCCATTCGTCCCGTCGGGTCCGCCCGCCGCCGCCGCCGCCGCTGACGGAACGGCGAGCAGCGCTGTTGTTTCACCCGTCGGCCGTTACTGCTGACGCGCGCGGTCGCGAATCCGTCGAAACGGCGTGCGGCGGCCGCCGGATTCCGGATGTTCCCGACGATCAAAGCGGATAGCTAATCCGCCGTGTGGTGGCGTGTGGGTCGTGTGTGTGTGTGTGTGTGGGGGGGGGTGTTGGTAGAGTCAATCGGATCCCGTTATCGGCGATCGGGTTTTTTTTTTTTTTTTTATTTTCTCGCCCCGGTCGATCATACGAAAACCCTTTGGGTTTTGTTCGCGCCAATAGCCGCCGACGCAAAAATATCCCACGGGGTTAACGTCGTTCCCGAATTCCCATCGATCCGCTGGACAATCGTCTACATTAGTGGGCGCACTTAGGAACATGCGGAATGTGTACACCGTAGTTCGCGGGCACCGGGTTTTCCCAATTTCACGGGTGCCCGAAAACCAGCCGCGCGCAAAGAACGAAAGCGCGCTGTTTGAGTACGTCAAATCGGTAGGGACGGGTGTTTAATACGCAGGGTGTCTCCGCCCCCCCCCCAAAGTGCGTTGTCCTCCGGCGCTAATAATTCTGCCATTGTTGTCCAATTTTTCTAATTTTTTTTTTTTCAATCGTGTATTTTGTGCGCGGAGAAAAATTCAAATTTTATTTTCGTCCCTCAAACGCTGAAAACAAAAAACGTCTAATCACAATTTCAAGACGTTCGAAATAGCCATTTCGTGAAACGTTGTATTGTCATTTTTTCGACGTTAACCGTTTTCGCGCCAATTGAAACCAGACCGAAAGCGCTACAACACACCGTTTGGTTGGAGCGAAATTTCCGATAGAAAAGTTCTCCGCGGACACGCGCGCGCGCGAAACACGTAGCTGTTCCGCGGATTCCTCTCTCCGTTCTCTATTTCGACGGCCTTTCAAGTTTCAAGAGCCTCCTCGACGTGGCTTCCTTTCATCTATCACGCCGCACGAACCCACGAAACGTTCTTCCCGATCGATGACGTTTTCCCGTTGTTTCCGGATGTTCTTCGATTCCCACCGACCGACGTGCAACGCATTCCGCCGGGTGTCCTCCCCGGCGGTCTTTTACCCGTCGGTCGCCGCCTTGCGGCTGTTCTAATTCCGTCTCCGTTTTCGCAGCGCTTTTCATCGTGTCGAAACCATTGTGGTCCGTGCCCTTTGATAAAATTTGATATAATGCGCACTACATCTCTCCCGTAACTCCTTATATTGTACTTCCTGCCGTCACACTGTCGTCCCTTTTCAACGTCAAAAGCCGCACCGCACATCGATCTCGATACGTTTTATCATAAAATTTGGAGATTAATCTTCTGTCGATTTATCGGTATTCGGCCGTACCCCTCGTCCCGCCGACTCCTAGACCGCTGAGAACAAATAAAACGAATTGAAATAACGAGGAATACGTGTGTAGAACACGTGAAACCTTATTATATCGAGTCGTATGTTAGGTTCTTTCTTTTTCTTTTTTTTTTCTTGATTGTATTTGTTTGTTCAACAAAAAACACCTTCTGCCTGCGACCAACAGTGCAAAAGTATGCACAATGAGTAGGTTTGATGTGTGGCCGAAGAAAAACAAACAAAAAAACCGGATAAGAGTAATTCGAACGGAAAGACCTACCCGGTGATAACATCCAGCCGATACTACGTTAAAAGCCAACATTTCCCGAGTAGGGCATTTCGAATTTCCAACTCGTGCACTAAAATGAATATAATTACCAGGAAAAAAAAAAAAAGAGAAAAACTGCGTCGAAATACGCGTAGCCGACCCCCGTTCGTTCGTATACATAGTCTCTGTCGCGGCGGAATAAAAAGCTTAACTACCGGTGACAAAAAAAAAAAAAAAAAAAAAAAAAAAAAAAACAAATACAAATGCAAATGTGCCGAACGTACGTCGACGACGATTGCTGTTCACTCGCTTTCGTTGAACCTATTAATTTTTTATCCACTCGTCGGTTACGTTCCAAATCAAAATATACATATTGCATTATGCACCCCGGCAATGCAGTTGCTATTATAATACAACCGAGTGGTACTACTACAACAGCACGTTTTTAATAATATGCGATTCGAGAATGTACCCACGTTACATTTTTTTATTATTGTACTTTATGTCTTTTTTAAACTTCAATTTCCCTGCCCATCCTTTTTTTTTTTCTAGCGCATTTTAAATTAAAATCACGCTCCGATCACCGAGGTTCATCGAGGTCGGGTGTTTTCTGGGTAGCGGAAATCGTTAATATTTTTTTTTTAATTTTCTACACAGCCGGGAAAACGCGCGGGGAGAAAAAAAACAACGCGGTTTCTGGTATTTTCGATTTTCGTTTTCCGTTCCGGTAACGGTTCGGTTGAGGACAATCGCACAGTGTTCATATTTTCACCGGACACCCGTGCGCGTACAACGTTTTTTCTCTTTCGTACTTCTGACCGTTTTGTACGTCTCGTGACTTTCCCCCGTCGCCGTGTTGTTCCGAACGGGATTTCGATTTTCGCGTCGCCGCAGCGCGCTAAATGTTTGGTTCGCGGGAGAAAACAAGTTTTCGTTTCTACCGAGTGTTCCGGCGGCGTCGGACGAAAGCCGCGGTGGAAATGATTGCGTTCGGCGTTGTTGCGTGGCGACTATCGTTTTCGGCCGGGGTGATTTTCCGGAATTTCACCAATCCGATCGATTACGTTGTGTTTTCGCGTTACAGGTACTGGCGCGCGTTCGGGAACGCGTACCCGGCACTTGTTCCGAACGACTAAACTTCCTCCCCTCCCCCCCCGGAACACTGGACTTGTATACCATACCGTACGTTTAACATCGGAACCAGAGACCGGATTTATAATGCGTTCTTGAAATTCGCGGAAGAAAACGTCGACAAAAAAAAAAATCACTCAACAGATATTGTGAAAACGCGAAAATAACCGTGGGGGTTTAATATGGTTCCCCTCCTAACGGATTTAATTTGCAAATAACGTTTTTTTAACACCGCGAAAATGATTGATAAAGAGTTATTTGTTTTTTTTTTTTTTTATATATAATACGTATACGATTTTAACGTATACGTTAATTTTATTTAAAATAAATCGTTATTTTGCGTTGATCATTTGTTTGCGTACAGCCCGCAGTAGGAAGTTTAANTGCAAATAACGTTTTTTTAACACCGCGAAAATGATTGATAAAGAGTAATTTTTTTTTTTTTTTTTTATATAATACGTATACGATTATTTTATTTAAAATAAATCGTTATTTTGCGTTGATCATTTGTTTGCGTACAGCCCACAGTAGGAAGTTTAATTGAATAACTCAGAGCCGTTAGCCGGGGGAAGGGGGGACTTTTGAAACCCCTCTATAACGTTTTCACACGTTTTTAAATGTTTTCGGGAGATTTCGAGGTTTTTCCGATGTTTTCGATTGCGCCTTTCTGGTGGATTACAAACTAGTAACGGTACGGATCCCGGTGTCGGATCGCAACCCATACATTACGGGCGCGCTCTTAACGCGTGTAAAAAGCGACGGGGGTGTTTTTTTTTTCTTTTCTAACACCCTCCCCCTCGTCCGATTTCTAGACGGCGCGCGCGCGTTAGAGCTTTTTTTTTTTTGTATTCCGCCAAATTCCGCGTTTATTGTCAACGCGCGCTGTCGGAACGTGTCCGAAACGTATACGGACGAGCGTCGAAGCGTTCGGTCGCAACGTGCATTCTGCGGCGACGCGTTTTGTTTTGTGCGATTATTATTATTATTTTTTTTTTTTTGCGAGTTTAAGAAGTTACACGTCTGTGATTTTATCGAGAGTGAAGCGAAGGCTCGTAGCAAGTCTCGGTTTTTCGTGAAACAGAAAACGAACCCGAAATTTTCGTTCGCTGTCCTCTACGGTATAATAGCGTCCATGCACAAATTGCATCCGCGTACGACGTTCAACAGTCGACACTCGACTGACGGCGCGGTAAAAACGAGCGCTTGAAATGCCGTCCCCTCTAAATGTAAGGGTGACGAAAGTCGGGACAGTCGTTTTTAACACGGTACGCGACAAGTTTTCACACGGGTCTTTTTTTTTTTTTTTTTAATAAGTCGTCGGTGTTTCGCGGAAAATTCTACTGCAACGCGAAATTTGTGCGAACCCCGGGAGTGTGCCGTTCTCGGAATGTTCGGCGCGCGCGAAATATTTCGGCCGTCTACCGGATGAGGGGCGGGGTGGCTGAAGGAGAAGGACGGGGCGGAAAACGCGCGTCAACGTACAGTACAATGGCATATTGTTCGCGCGGAAAAATGAGCGCCTTTCCGACGCCGGAGAACGGCCTCTCGGAATGCGGTAACCGCCGGCGACCGCGGTACATACCGTACGGTTACCGTACCGCCGTCGCCGCAACGCAATGTAATACGCGTCAACCGTTCGTCGCGGTCGCTGAGCGGCGCGGAAACGACGGCGTTCGCCGTCCGTGGGTTTCGGGTCGGGCCCCGAACAGTTTTGAAAGCGGACGATTGCCGCTCTCTGAAAAACACCGTCGCGCCGTCATTTTTAGATTTCGAGCGGAGGGAATATCGAAGACGCGGGGTTAAACAAGACGTGCGTGTGTTCTACCGGCGAATCGTACAAAGCCGATACTTTGAGGACGTTATTCTACGGCTCATTGGCCCGGAGATTTTCGACAACAGCGCCGTCCGATTTCGCTATACGCCGCAAAGATAACGGACGTGATATGCGTACGTGGTTCATTATTCAAAGCCGGAACGCCCGGCGATTCCGACGGAAATTTCGCGTGTGTGTATGTGTGTGTGTGTGTGGGGGGGGACAATCCGGTTTTTCGGCCCCCGTAAAGCGTTCCAAAGGCCGCGGCATAGGTTCTGGGTGGCGCGGTTTTAACGCAGGACGCTGCCGAGTTTTACGCGGAACAGTATCGGGTTCGGGCCGACGGCAAGCCGCGTTGAGTTGTGTACGCGAAACCAACGGTTACTGTTGTGACGTCATATCGTTCTGCGACAACAGTCCTCGGATCGAATCCGAAACAAATAAAAATGCGCACGCAAACCTTTTTGGAAAGTGCAATTTCGAAATTATTACATTCCGCGTTTTAAGTACTCGGGTGTACGGCTTGGGGTTTGCGAACGCAAAGCTCCCCCGCTGTCGTTAACGTAATTAAGCTTATCGAGAAAAGTCGTTCAAGAAACGAGACCCGGTCGACGCAATGCGAAAAAAAAACCGAGACAAACTATAAAGTGATTTTCGGCGATAAAACAACGTCGTTACGATTACGGTACTATCGTTAGCGTACATTATCTTTTGTTTTCTAAACATCTTTACTTTTACTGAAAAACCGTGATCGTAATTTGCGTCGCGCACAAGTCGTCGAACAACCGTAATCGCCGGCATTAAAATGCGAATGTTCGCGCCGTGTAATACATTTTGACGGTCCGTTTTTCGAACAAATATTTCGAGTATTGATCACGTAAGCCCGTCAAATATTTGTTTGCCCCGTCGTATCGTCTTCGGCATCCGACACGCAGAACACTTGAAGCGGTTTTCAAAAGTTTAATATCCGAAAATATTAACCGCGAGTAAACTGGCAGATTTACCGGCGGAACGCACGAGCGAGAAAATATCGATGCACGTTTTTCTCCTTTACAAGGTCGGATCTTGGAGCGATTCAAATCATACCCAAAGCCTAGATAATCCATATACGGTGTCCAGATTCTTACCGTGTTATTTACGGTGGCGTGTCCGGGGATTTTCAACTGGGAAACAATGTAGCCAACACGAATCGTACGACAATCGTGAAATCTTCTGCTGTGCCCCACGCTCAAGGAGTCTATCGGACTTTAGGGATCAAGAGTCGGAAAAAAAACCTATTTCTAATCAATAAATTCCGCACTTTTCTTGTGTAACTCGGCCGAAATATTGCCTTGTAGATTTTCAAATTAAATCATTACGTAAATGCTCGCCGTCGTTGCATTTTTAAGGGTCTGTAGACGGGATATAACCCTTAACCTACCCCCCCCCACCCTCCCGTCCGCCGACCTGCGCACGCCACTGATCATTTCAGCGGGTATGGACCCGTTAACCGTGTACCGGCGATAAAATTTTAGCGTTTAATATATGATAGATAACGGGCGGTTGCTATCAAAGTTATTTGTAATATATTATCTACCGGGTTGATACGTAAAGCGCGCGATTTAAACCTCGACGACGATAATAACATATTTCAACCTCTAAACCGTATACCATTATTATCCGTACGCGTTATTATTAGAGGGTTAAATTTTGCATAATATTATTACGGTTATTGAATGTTACGGAATCGCCCGAAACGCGCACTCGGCTATTAAATTTTAGCCCGTGCAAACGCAGAATATTCACGGTATTATATTCGGAATAACGGTTCGAGAAAAAAACGATAATCTGCAAACACAAGTAGCCCGTAGAATTTTGCTGTTTCCGGCGTCCCCTATTGAACTTTAAGAAAATAAAATTCACATTTGAATTATACATAGACACCAAAGGCGGGGTGTGCGACGTGGGTGGTGTTGTTTCAAAAAAATATCCAGGACCCGTCCCAAAATTTTTGTTTTACCGTCTTGTTAGTTGGTATCGCGGTACCGTAACACCACACCTGCAGCTGTTGTTCGTCCGCTCACACATCGTGCGCTTCGGATGGCTACTAGAACGGCGAGACAACACAACATTTTGCAGTTTCTGGAAGGCACTCCTATTGCACGGTCTCCGAGTATCCGTATAAAATATTCGTTTATTACACCGGTGTTTTTTAGTTTTTTCATTTTATTGGAGGACCCGAGCGATCGTATCCGAAAATGTGTATACACAGTCGGGCAGCGAAAATGAAACATTGAGATTTTATATATATAATTTTTTTTTTTTATGTTTTTAACGATTCCGGCCCAAAGGTATGAACGGTTATTTCGTCGGGATTATATTATTATTGTCCCGTTACACGGGAGATTCTAAACTTTCGTTACGGTCGGGATATTGCGCGTGATGATGATGATTTCGTTTTTTTTTTTTTTTTTTTTTTTTTCCCGTTTTTTTCGNGTGTATACACAGTCGGGCAGCGAAAATGAAACATTGAGATTTTATATATATAATTTTTTTTTTTTTTTTTTTTTTTTGTTTTACACGTTTATTTCGTCGGTGTTTCTTTCTTTTTTTTTTTTTAAGAATGAAAAACACATGGCGCGCACTGGCCGCCGGCAACCGGTTTCTTTCGAGGCGACAGGTGGCGATGAACGGCACAGGCAGGTGCGTTTCCGGGCGAACGCATACTTACACAATAAAATTTATTATAAATTCCAAACAGTTTTTCCTAGTGACGAGAAACGATAACCGCCCGTTCGATTATACCGTATATTGTTCGCCGAAGATATTTTATGCGCGATGTACCGGAGTATTTTCCGAATTTCAGCGACATTCGATTAAAATAATAATTCAGTTTCAAAACTCTACGGCTCGGTGGTATTTTTACTGTTGGATCTATTCCCGAAATTCAATAGGTCCGTTGGTTTATAGTCGACTGTCGGAAGGCGAGGTCGTTATTTATTATTGTACGCAGCGTGCTCGGAAACCTGCAGCATAATAACATCGTACATTATGCCCTAGAATAGAGGTGTCTGTTTTTGTTTTTTTTTTTTATTAATTTTTTAATCCGACGGGTCCGGACGGAAATAATAATAATAATAACAATAGGAGACTGTATCTATCTGTCCGGGGGAATCGCGTGACCCGATTTTTGGCCTGCCTTTTACGCCACCATCCCGTAGGTATTTTCATAATGGGTACTTTTGCGTTCACCTCGTAATATGTGCCTTCGCGACTTTTGCGCGCAGATACGCGACGAAAACCTTGAAGAGGGTTCGTTTTCAGTAAACTGCGTGTCAAACGCAAGTCATCCGTATACTATACCTATATAAATATATATATATATATATACGTATATACCCAGGTATACAGTCGCGCCGAAGAAATTACATTAATGTTTCACGGACGAATTCACGAGACTACGTGTCCGGTGGACCCGATTTTTCCGCCGTACACGCCAACGACGTGAAAAGAAAATGAAAATGAAATATAAAAAAAATATGTAAAAAAAATCGCTAATATATATATACTACACTATGGCGCGTAACTATTATATATAAATAATAAATACTCCCGGGAGCGCGGTGACAAACGAAAACGATGTTTTTCATGCCTTATAACACTCGACAAAAACAGTGTCTCGGATTCAAGGACTTGTTGTTTTCGACGCGTTTTAGTCGCGCTGTGTTTAGTTTTTTTTTTTTAGAATAAGAACAGTCGTGTCATTTCGCTTTATAGACAGATAAACTGTACGTCGTGACTGACGTGGAAAATGTTATCGACACTAACAGCTACATACATGTATGTATATAAGTATAAGTTGAGGTTCACTGTAAAACCTTTATACGACTCCCGAGTGTCGCGACTCTTACGCGGAGTTCGGTTATTTGTAACTATACGCTGTCTACAAAACGTAATAATTAATTTTCAAAAATCTCGTAAAATTCGAAAAATAACGCCCAAAATCCACCCGAAAAAAGATCCGAAAATCCTTAGAAAAAAACAAAATAATACTAATAATAAAGCACACATTACAAAACAAACGGCCAAAAAAAACGAAATACAAACGGACGGCGTTCATAAAAAAGGATATAAGTCACATTTTGTCAAGTTATACATTATACATAGATTCAAGTTGGGAGGAGGGGAATTTCGTGACGGATCGATTGGCGGTACTGAAACTTGTCTGTCTCCTTTTTAATATCACGCGCGCGTTTGGGCATAAGTCAAGATAAGAAAATCCGTCTGAGTAAAAACGTCTCTAGTATTGTTCAGTTTCTTCTTGTCGCCCGAAATGATATAAAATTTGATTTATATCTTTTTTCGTGAAATATTCCACGCATTCAAATCATATACACGCGTAACACGAAATTTATAACTGATGCGCATAACTTCGTATTAACGTCGGAAGAAAAAAAAAAAACAAGCAATTGCCAACATCTGAAAACTCTATACGCAATATTATAATGTATAATACGTATGCCATCGTGTTATTTTCCATACGAATTTTTGTGCTCGTAATTAATAACATACACGTATAACCATATTCAAAAATGCGTTATCGATTACATACGAGTATAATGAAACGAAATTGTATTATAAGAAACGGGCATTGTTTTTTTATGCGTAGAACGAAAGAGAAAATTCTACACGTGTTAACGTCAATGATCTGTAAATACTCGCATAATACCGGCTGTTCAATCAGATATTCAGCAATGAGCCACGACGAAACACGCGTTAGTTAAACAAAAATAAAATTATTTTTATGTACAGTTCAAAAACAATAACATTACAAATTTATGCAAACCCCGAGGAGATCAATAATATTCAATTCGTAATTATCGATTATCGAACACGGTGTTTCCATTCGATGAACAATATTTGTATAATACAGACGATTGCCGTCGGTTTCAAACGTGGAAAGAAAACAATTCTCGCTGGCCCGTCTCGTCAGACGTTTTGCGTGCACCGCAGTTTTTATTTTTTTCGATTCCTCGCGAAAAACCGATGAACGTATTACTTTTACCATATTTACGACTTGTGCATTTGCTCTATTAATCGGTGCGTCGAAGAGGTCATTTCCCTTACAATTGTATTAATCGTTTAGGAAATAAGGGGGGGGAGGGGTATTACGAAATAACGGTTTCTGTCAATTTAGATTTTATTCGGAAAGTGCTAAGAGAAATTCTATGACAACCCCCCCCCCCATCCTGGTCGTGTTAAATACAAAACTATACGAAATAATATTGTCACCCACTTAGCGTTGAGAAATTATTACTAATAAAAAATAATAACAATTGCGCATTATTTGCACTTCTTATTGGACCAAGTACACGTCATTTTACCCACTGCGTATAGTTGTGTGTTTTGCGAAACAATTTTTGTTTAAACCGAGGTTTTTCAGTCTAGCGCCCTGCCACACTCTTGCCCGTTAAAAATATCCCGGAGAACGCCGCTGGCAAAACGTGTAACAATAATTGGAATCCTCGAGAGGAGAACGCGAATTTCGCGGCTTAGCAAAATGTAATAACAGCGTATACGATTATAATGAAAATTGCGTACTCGGGATTTTATTTCTTTCGAGTGACGGCGAGACCATTTGGACGTTGCTCGCGGAGAGAGGTTTCGTCGAACGGGCGCTAGGGTTTCGCGAGAGGGACGAATTACTGTGCCGGCGAGATCGAGCGTGACACCGTTCGCAGCAGCATCAGCACTTGGACCCAGTCGCCATTTATTTACACCCACACCGACGCTGCGGCGTACACACGCTGGAGTGTAATACGCCCATATCATTATGTAACATACTTGACCCGATTGCATAAATTTTCTTTTCGCCGTGTGACCGTTAAGGTTAGTAATTGCACAGAGCAAACGTGTATAATAGGTGTAGGTACAATTATTACAATGTCTCACGGAATCCATTTTTAAACCTAAAACTATAGCCGAAACAGTAATATCATAATCATATACACAGGCGCCAGGTTTTGAAAATTTCACCGGAGGGTTCACTATTTTATATAAACGCGTGTACGGATTTATCTATAAATCTTACCCATATGTGTCTCCTTTTTTTTATTTCCCTTAATTTGTTCTTGAAGCAATATACTAAAATATAGTTATTCGTTGCGTCTCGTATGTTCAACATTTTAACAGCATCATGAAAAAAATCACAAAACAATCTACACTTTTTCTCTGCTTTTAATATATATATATATATATATAAAAACTCCCCGTTTATTTTTCTCGATTAATTTGTTGTAAATAAAATTAGTATTTTGATGATGTACGTGACATTTTTTTTTATTATTATTATTATTATAATATAAGAACCGCGGGGGGCTGAGCTCCGTTTTATCAAGCCCATATGGGAGGGGAAGCGCTGCAGGCTCAGAGTCCCCATTTACACGGCGCACCCGGTCGTATATTCTCGTACACGTATAATGTTACGGCGACAACAGCAACACGCGAAAAACGACAACATAAAAATATATTTAAAAAAAAAAAAAAAAAAACACCATACCTACGCGATTGCGAGTACGGCGGTTAATAATATAACAATTTTCCGCTGAGACGGCGGACTGGACCGCGGACCACCGCACACGTGTGCATATATCGTTTCATTCACAGCAATGATTTTTCGCGATCTATCCGCTCGTTCGTCGAACGTTTTTCGATTTCCCGAAATGTCTCGCTTCCCACGTACAACAGCAATAATAATAACGCGCGTCGCAGTTGTTGTTTTTCATACGAACGCATAATGCGAATTTATGCCGCGCGTCGATTGGCGAAGACCGCGAGAACAGCGATCGATTGATAAAACCGAGAAATGCATGTATTATTTGTGAAGAAAGTTTTTTTTTTTTATTATTCTTTCTCCAGTCCTCCGTCTTATCCGAAAGCACGACACGGCGATCGGTTTGCGTTCGGCGGTTTTGCGATTTCGCGTATTCAGTTGTGATAACGGAATATCCGGTGCCGGCCGACCCATAATCGACCTCAAACGGGCAAAGGGCCCGCGGTGTTTGTGCGCGCGTCAGCTCCGACCGATACGTAAACCCGCAGTGCGAGAGACGAGCCGTTTTTTTTTTTTTATAAATTCAACGCGCAAGCGGACAATGTCCGTCGCCCTTTAAGTTCGATACGACGTGGGTCCGCCACAACGATACGACTAACAGTCCGGCGTCGACCGAGCGCTCCGCGCGCGACGGAGACAATGCGAAACGCGCGTGTAGCGTCCTCACGCGAATACACGGACGGAACGCTCCGGCGAAGTTTATAGCTCGGCACACTGCAGAGAGACGCGGAATGGGTGTACTTGGCGGGCGTTCGTTTTTTCGGCGAAACGGGCCAGGAGACGGCTTCTGTGCAGCTGTTGTTTTGATGGGCGAAATTCGCTACGCGTTATACGACCAATTGATTTTGCTTCGAAACGTTCAACGTCGGGTCGCGAATGAAAATCGTTCGCCGGGCACACCGACGTAACGATACGCGATTCGAAACATTGTTCGATACGGTGAAATGCGTTAGTCTTCGCGGTTTTATTCCCGTGCACGAGCAATACGCAGACACGCGATAAAGCGCCGTGGTTCATACGGGTACGGAAATCTAAGTAAACAACACGTTTATGTACACACGAAGTACGTGCGTTTAATGTTCGTGCGCAACACGGTCGAGATGTAACAACGACGATCGATACGGCGTCAACGGTGTAATCATCAATGTGAACAAGTTCAAGAGTTCAATTAATGATAATAAGTACCGACCGACGTTTTCTAAAACAAACAGATATTACGAAAAAAAATAACTAAATAAATAAATACATTTTTGGCGCGGGATGTTTTTTTTTTTTTTTTTTTTTTCATAATATCTTACCGAGAATTTATACATTCGGGAAATAGTCGAGAGAAAAATTTGAAAACCAAGTGAACCCTATGTCCTATTTAATGACACAGTACAGTAAAGAAACCCTACGGTCAAATCTATGGTGGAAATATGAAAAAAAAAAAAAAAAAAAAACATTTTTTATAACGGTACGGACCCGACAGGATTCCGCGATATTATGTCGGAGATGTCTCGGACTTTTTGAAATTTTTATTTCCCCAATACACACGTGGACGTCGTTTATTGTCCGTCGGTTACCGTGAACGTTAATGCGTATGGGGCACAGAGTAAAATCCGGCCTCCGACACCGACGGCAACAACATCGACACCGTGGACTGTGACGGCGCCGAACGTTAAAAAAAACCGTTCCGCGCGAACGCAATGCGAACGCGGTGTCGGCTTTGCGGGTCTCGCGCGACAGGTCTCGCGACGTTTTCCGCAACCGTTTGTCGGCGGGACGACGTAGCCGACGGCGAAATTAACGCCGCGCCGCCGCCGTTTGTGCTGCGGGCCGGACCGGGCGAGAAGAAATCGCGTCCAAACGCACCTACGAGACGACGAAAACGCGCGACGGCGGGTCGCCGTATTACAATACGGCAATTCGGTACGGGCACTCCCGGAAAACGCCCGCGAGACGTTTTAATGAGGAAATGACCACGGCGGAAATCATCGCGTTCTGACGGCGTGCGGCGCGGCGCCGCGCGGACTTCAATTATACGCGCGCGCGAAATTAATCTCCCCGTGCGCCGGCGAACCGCGCGCGAAAAACGCCAAACGAAATCCAATGTCGTCGGGCGGGGGGGTGGGGGGCGACGGTTATTGCGTCGCGCCGACACCCCGCCGGCGCGGCGTCGTGCGCGTGCGTGGAAATGTCGGAACTTCGCTGTTTCGAACGGAGAGCCGCGTGCGATTTGACTCGGTCGCTGAGAACGCGGCGGTCGGAAACGCGTGGTATTTTCGCCAAACGCCCGACGCGAATGCGCCGAATCTGACTGAATCGTTCGGTTCGGACCGTTTTGGCGAAATTTCAAAATCGAATTTGTTTCCGCCGAAAGCTACACGTAATTGACCCTGCTTCCGCCGGGCCACGGCCGTGTTAAAACGGGTGTACCCCGTAATTTTCTCGCTCCGATTTGTCGAAAATATTTCATGCGCAACTCGCCGGTATCGGTCGTCAGACGAGCGTTTCGCCGGTTGTATTTTCGTGATTTCCGTAAACGGTTTCAACACGACGCCTTTGCGAAAAAAATCCAACGAAACCGCGGAGCAGACATGCGTTTGCGGTGTGCGGATTTCGTTCAAAACGAATATTTTTATGTCGACGCAGTCGTTTCGCGAGTACGGGTCTACGGGACGAGGCGGTGCTGTTGAGTTTCGAAAACAAAACGCAATATTTTCGTGTCGGCGTGGCGGCGGCGGAGGGAAAAAAGTTTTTTTTTTTTTTAAAAAAAAAGTACAGAGGGAGCGGTCGATATGCACGCGTGGGCGTTCTGCGGCCCGTCTTGTTGCCGCGGCGGAGCTGTCGATTTCGCGTTATAAACGGTTATTTTTTTTTCTTTTCGTTTTTTCTCGGCTACAGCCGTGGCCCGTTTAGAACGATAATGCGCAAAGCGCATACGATTCATTGCGGTCATATATTATTGTTAACGGTGTAGTACGGCTTTTTTTTTTTCGTTCATTGCGTGGCGCGTGACGGACGGCGCGGTCGTACACAGTGTCACGACGACGGTGCCCCCCGTTTAAACAATGCGCGCCGCACGCGAAACATACACACGGGCGCAGCATCTGCCGTCGCATGAAAGCCGGACGTGCTGCAGAAGAAGGACCCGGGGAAAAAACAAAAAAAAAAAAAAAAAAAAAAAAAAAAACAAAAATAATAAAAATATAATAATAATAATGATAATCGTAATAAAAATAACGTCCCGAGTCTACTCGGCGTTATATACGAGAGACGACGCCCCGCGGGACGACCGAGGAACGGTGTGCGTTATTATAACCCGTGTACGCAGTCACGTAGTTGTTGCTTTTAAAGTAAACGCCGCGCTGTCCGTGTGTATGTATATAAATATATATTATACGGGCGGGTATTATGTACCGGTACTGTGAGTGTGTATGCGTGTATGTGTGTGTGTGTGTGTGTGTTTGTAGGAAAATTGAATTACCGACGAGAAAGACATAAATAAATCCGGGAATGGAAAAAAACCGAGAAGCGAAAAAAAAAAATAAAAAATTGTGCCGCGCGCCCAAAATACATTTTTCGGTCCTCCGTTTTCCCGTCCGGACGCGAAGATTCCCCGTACATTTCTCCCCCCCCCCCCCCC